TCAGGTCGCAATCACATAATGCAGAAGTACTTGTTGAATGCGACTCTTAAGGTCTTTGCATCTCAGCATGCTGTCGGGTGCTCTTAGTGCATCGTTTTCACTCACTCGAATMGTCAGATTGAAAYASCSATGGAACGAAATCTAGCTGCTCTTAATAAAACCACGGAGTATCTACAGCAGYGATAACGATATWACAGKGAAGATTTCAAGAGCTTTYTTGCACTATTTCAGGTATGWTSAATTTTACTTTTATTACTTAGGATGAATTAACTCGASATATAGATCAGCCTARCGCAATATAAGGAATTTGTATCTTAAGATAGCAGTTTAAATWTACTCTCTTCTTTCTGATTCATGTAACTTRTTTCCTCTGCWCCTCCATATATGRCAATGGGAAAGAGRGCCKGACAMCGGRAAGGTGMAAAACAACATTGAGATCTTCATAGATCCAAASAATGTTTTCAGCCGGAACAGTTCTCTAAAAGTCATTGGATCCACACCTCTGTCATTAGCAGGAACATTTKCTGTTAGACTTGAASATTGGAAGCATATCCATAGCTTCTCYGGGCAGTATGTTAYRTTTTCTTACMACCCCCATTGTAAATATTTATCCTAATCAGAACCTTCCCTTTTTAAGTTAAAAACTCTTGTCTACTGGTCTGTCACCACAGGCCCTGGTAAAAAGGAGCTCACTCTATCTTTCTTATAAATTTACTTTCTAAATAGAAACAGCAAAAATAATGAGAAAAGTCCACACAGAGGCATCTTCTTTTCATGCCTGAATACTTAATCTCTTTCAGTCCTCCTRCATAGCAGAGATGTTCCAGCCCTCAGACCATTGGCATGGTCCTTCTGGGGACTTGAGCACAGCTTTTTGAATATTGGCCCCAGATCTGCATGAAGTAATATATCTGCAGTCTCACAAGAGGAGTTTAGAGGACGTGAAAGAAGATCCCTCAACCTGGTGGTCAGAGTACTTGTTATGCAGTRCAGGATACAATTTGAGCAGCAGGTGTCTATTGCCAATTCATGCCTTATTTTATCACCCACCATTAACCCAAAGTATTTCTTTATGAAGCTGTTCCATATTCCCTACTCTCTGTTGTAACTGGGGATTGCCCCAACCCAGGTGCAGGACCTTGCTCTTGAACTTGTTCAACTTCATGATGTTTGCATGGAGCCACTTCCCCAGCCTGACCCTCACTGATATCTCTGCCCTCTCGTGAATCAACTCAGCTTGGTGTCAGCTGCACATTTGCTGCAGGGGCACTCAATCCCACTGTTTTTGAAGATACTAAACAGTACTGATCTCAGCAAGGATTCCTGAGGGACAACACAAGTTACTGCTTTCCACCTGGACATTGAGCCACTCTCTATAACTCTTC